TAATGATTGGACGAAAGGTTTATTTTTTGTACTCAAAGTATGGTGGACAAGGAAATTATTTATCAGCTTTAAAAAAATAATCCGTGCTATACCTAAATTAGGAATTTTGATCAAGTAGGCGCTAGATATCTAGCTTACGTTTGCACCTAGTGCGGATAAAAGTATTGCCGTAGAATTTTTTTTAATTTATCTTTTCGGGAAGGGTTGGGTAGGGTATTTGACCTCAACTTTGGACCTACTTTAGAAAAAAAACTAAGCCGAACAACACCCTGGATTTTTTCTACTGTAAACCTCGTCTACCCAGCTTCTCTTTGCACCTAGTGCGGACAAAAGTATTGCCGTAGAAATTTTTTTATTAAGTTAATAACTTTTCGGTAATGGTGTGGTAGGGTGGGTAGCTGAGGTCTACTTGAGAAAAATCCAGGGTGATGTTCGGCTTAGTCTTTTTTTTATAATGTAATAAGCTGTCAAATTATGAAAGCTCACGTCTTAATTGATAGGCATAGAAATAAAAAGAAAACGTAAATAACAATCTACCGGAGACAAAATAACGTTGGTTTAGGCAACTAGTACGATAGTCTGGATGTGTGGTTCTTCATTTCTGTATTCTTTGATATGTTATACCATTTTTCTCTATTCTTTGATTAGTCATCATTAGTGTTTTAGGCCATTTATCTCTATTCTTTATTTCTTTTTACTTTTTGCCAATTATTTTGTTCTATTCATATTTAAACACCTCATTATTCTATTTTTTTATGTCTTGGTTCATTGTCTCTTTTATTTATAAATTTTGCCCACTATTCTCTATTCCGTAAACCCCCATCCACACCCTCCAGTTAAGGTCACCATATAGCTTTCACAAATAAGCAAAACTAATACCGAATAGGCTCCGAATGGCAAAATGATTGAATGCTAATCCCGGTTTGAATTGTGAAATTGCGAAAATTTGTTTTTTCAATCAATTGATCAAGCAAAACACATTATCGTCCTGAATGTTCGTATAATACTGGCAGATGGACCTTGGTCATCAATTCTAATCATTTTAGATCAACCTTTCTGAACATAAAAGTAAAGATCACCCACCCTTATTGTTCAGATTGATAAAGACTTTTGCATCCGTCGACATTAACTTCGATTTAAATACTATAGATATAAGAAGATGTGGTATGAGTGCCAATGAGACAACTCTCCATCTAAGTCAAAATTTATTAAAGTAAACCATTAAAGATCTGATAACCGCTGTGCTGGTATACTTTAACGACTGGGCTAGTTTTCTTATCCGTTTTAAAAGTAGTAACCTCCCTTGTTAATGTGATGTTGTAATCAATCTATCTATTTGTACCATCTTTATATAATATTATATTGTAAATTTAAATTTATGATTCGTTTAATATTTAAATACAATATTTATTTTTTAGTAAAGATATATAAACAAGGTAATTTGAAATGCTTTGATTCATTTATCACCGTAGTTCAATTCATAAGTTAGGCGGTCTATTTTGTCTACATAATGTTGAAAGAACACCGAGGGTGTTTACATTGGCATTATTTACTACCAATGACTGTGAAACAAGAAAGGAAAACATTGTACATTATAAAACGAGAATAATTAAAATTACATTCAAAATTCATCTTTTAAATTAGTGAAATCAAAAACGAAAAACGGAAACACTTTTGATTTTCATTTTGGTTTTAGAGAAATCTAAAACAAAAAATGAAAACACTTTCGTTTTCCGTTTTGGTTTTAGAGAAATCAAAAACGAAAAATGAAAACACTCTCGTTTTTTGTTTTTTGTTTTCGATATTTCAAAATGAAAAAAGAATGGACGCAAATATACACGGACCGTTGTGCGCACTATAATCGATATCAGAAGTTTACATCTTAGCACAAACCCTTCCATACTCATAATGTTAATTTAACAAACATTTTTTTATTTTAGTAAATTTTTAAGAAATGTTAGAGTTCAAAATGAAACGGTATCATTTATATTTATAAGAAGCAGTTTATAAATGTAAACATATGTTTCTGTGAAATTTGTTACAAATGTTTTTACAATTAACGTGTTTGATTGTAAACGAGAAGATTAGAGCTAGTGATTACTAACTGGCATGATTTACATAATACATTTGACTGTTAATTCAAATTTCATAAATGTTTAAATTATATAAAAATAACAGTAGACGAGTTTTGTTTAAAAGCTCTAAAGCGTTTATGCTTCTGGTCTTAAAACTTGCAGCCACGAGTGGTCCTTATAACGGGTATTTCAAAGACCTTATTGTGCAAGTTATTCGGTATCAAACTTGTTACGACCACTGGATCTGCACAGCATCTGGTGTTTTAGTATAACCATTGAGTGGCAAGTTTTCAATGAAGCGGTTCTTGCATAAATGGAAGATACTTTTTGAGTTTTATTTCCAGGTTTATAAACTATGAAGTTTATTTAAAACTAAAGATGCAACTCCATGAGGCAAGTTATGATTAGGATTTTTCTGTTAATGTTATTCTTTCAAACGTCATTTGTGGCTTGTTTTATTGCTTTCCAGTAGTGGTCAAATATAAGAACTGCGACGTTCAACGTAGGTTGAATATTACTGTTCGCTTATTAAAGATAAAAGATATCAGGAAATATAATTTGATTGTATCCAAATATTTCTTTATTTAATTTGCACCCCTGTATTTGTACAGGAAATGTCTGATTACAGGATATAGATATAAGAAGATGTGGTATGAGTGCCAATGAAGCAACTTTCCATCCAAGTCACAATTTATAAAAGTAAACCATTATAGGTAAAAGTAAGGTCTTCAACACGGAGCCTTAGCTCACACCGAACAGCAAGCTATAAAGGGCCCCAGAAATGACTAGTGTAAAACCATTCAAACGGGAAAACCAACGGTCTAATATATATAAAAAAACGAGAAACGAGAAACACTTATGAACCACATCTACAAACGACAACTACTGAACATCAGACTCCTGACTTAGGACAGGTGCAAACAATTGCAGCGGGTTTAAACGTTTTAATAGGTACCAACCTTCACCCTTATCTGAAACAATAGTGTAACATCACATCATAGAAAGACACACTATACAATATCAATTGAAATGGCTTAACTCAATCAAAAGACATATTAACACAATTGAACATACACTGAACGACAAAAATTTGATCTATGATACAATGTAAATACAAAATAAAAAAATAAGTGGTGAATAATTAAAGTAACAGTAGTATACCGATGTGAAATGTTAAACAATTTCATAAAAACAACAACCTTGTACAAAAATCCGCCATTTAAAGTAATATACACAGGTAGATGAAAATAATTCTATTGTTAGGTATACAGTTTAAATGGAGAAAGGAAAATTTTTTACAAAATAAATAATTTTGATGTTCATAGTACGAAGAAGTGAAAATTTACATTTGGCATTTAGACCAGATATAACCCTGAATAAGTAAACATTAAATAACAAAAAAGCATCACAAATAGTATCCACAGGTCAAATTAACAAGAAAGTACGATTTGAGAGTACTCACAGTTACTGACAGCCAGTTAAAAGCCAAAAACAATTAATAATAAATAAAAAGTCATGCATCAGAGATTAAAATCAACTAAAACACATCCCAGGGATTTAGTATTTTAACGTCATGGACAGTCAAAGAAGACATGACTTGTGCAATGCCAAAAATAAATGTATCGACAGGCAGTAGGATAGTTAGGAATTAACCTCTTTACAGATAAAAATGAACGTGGGTGTGTCTTTATACATCCCGTTTGAAAAGAATACAAATTTAGTTATGTTTCAATTTGCTGATGACAAAATCGATATTAGTGCCAATGTAAACTATATTCAAAGATCTAATTACAGCATTGGTAAGATAACCTTTACTAACAAGGTAGTTTAAAGGTTCGATGAGTTTACACGGATCACATAGTGATTTCCGCGCTTGTAGTACAATATTACCGTAAAATTTAGGATGTGAAATACCGTTTTTAATAAGTTTTCTACAGGTACAGCCAAATTTACTATTTGTATCTATGAAAGAAATTAGTAAAAGTTTTAAGTATTTATGGAAACGAAATCCCTGACTTAATAATTTACCAGTGATAGATTGATTACGTTCGTTAAAATCTATGACATCACTACACACACGGGCATAACGAACGAGTTTGGATATATAAACACCGTATAATGGAGCAAAAGGAACATCGCCGTCTAAAAAAGGAAAAATAACAACAGGGAATGAAAAATCGTCTCTATTGTCGTAAATTTTAGTATGGAGTTTCCCTTTAGAAATTGTCTAAATCTAGAAAAGGACAACTACTGCTGTTTATGTTAGATTTAGTTAAAGTAAGTTCTTTTGGGTAAATATCAGTAGTATATTTAGAGAACTCAGGATTATTTAACGAAAACATATCATCAAGATAACGGAAGGTATTGTTGAATGTATCAACCAAATGTAACAATGACGTGTTGTCTTTACTGAGTTTGGTCGTAAACTGAGATTCATAGCAATACAGGAATAAATCTGCTATCAAAGGGGCGCAGTTAGTGCCCATAGGAATACCTACTACTTGTCGATACACTTTATCGCCAAAACGTACATATATGTTGTCCAGGAGAAAATTTAAAGCTTCAATCATATCTTTACATTTCCAGTAAGTGTATCTAGCATACTTTCCTTTTTCGTTACAGAAAAAGTATTTAAAAGAGTTACAGCAAATAAATTTGCAATGAGAATTTTATAAAAAGACCATTTAATTAAAAATGAAAACTTTTTCTTGATAAGATTGTGTGGAAGTGTAGTGTAGAGAGTAGAAAAATCATAACTGTCAACAGAATTAAAACGACCATCAAAAGCATGTATTTTATCTAAAACCTCTAAAAAAAATTTAACACTCCAAAAATAATTAATACCATTATTTTCATAAGCTTTATTACAAAAGTTAATAACAATGCATGTTTACGTATACATTATTTGTCGGTATAAAAACTTACGGTATGGACGATGACAGGCCTGCAAGATATACAAATATCAATTGTGGTTGTTCTTATAACAAATTTTCTTTTATGCAATTTGTGATGCACATACAAGATTTGTTTTAAATAGCCAACTAATGCAGTTAATATGGAGGTATAAGTACAATAGGTCAAAGTCAGCTTGATCGTGTGTGTAATGCGGTAAATTTAATTAATTTTTGAAGAATCAATAAGATTTATAACAGCGAAAAGTATCATACTTACTATTCTGATATATTAATACATTGCATATCCTTTTGGTATCTACATGTAAGCATTATCCGAATGAAATTATGAGATTCACCGGCTACTAAATGTATACTGTTTTTGATTAAACCTGATCTAAGTAAACAACAATAAGTAATTTACTTCGAAGCCAATTTTTCTTGAAGTTCTTTCTTTATTTATTTATCGTTTGATATTTGTTGTTGTTTGTTTGTTTTACCGCAATGATTTGTATTCTGCAACTTACTCAAATTATATCAAGCTTACATACGTCTACAATTATTTGCGCATCAGATATACATGTACGTTTAATGTGTTCTACAGTTATATTCTATTACACACCTTTATGATTATCTAAATCATCATAAACTTCAACAGCGTCTTTGGTTCCAAGTGATTCGTAGGGCTTATTAGTTCTGCAATATGCACAGACAAGTCATATCAATTTATTCTTTATAAAAATGTAATAGAAATGGGACCACTATGAGTAAAATAGATGAATCTTGACGATTTTTTTGTCCTTGTTAAAAATGCAGCAAAGGCTATTTTAAATTAACAAAATCAAAAGTAGACAAGGTTGTCAAAGTGATGTAACTAAATAAAAAAAGGAAAACAAATATACTAACCAATATGATCACGTCAAATAGAGTTGGGTACTGTATATAATCAATTGCAAAGTAATACAAAATAAATTTAAGTCTTAATTTCATATTTATTAAATCTATAATTACTAGTATTAACAGATTAACTTATAAATCAAAAGCAGTGTCAATGTTTTTTTTTAATTTTCAATAGACAGGGAACCTTGTCATTAAAGATATGTTCAAAAACTTTATATTATATAGTATAATTCTATATTTGCCCAGTCTATGCTAGTTTCCTTTATTCTTGTGCTATATTGTGTGCATGGAATCGTTACCGGTAGAAAAGTACACCAGGGTTCTTAAAACATATTGGTTTTAATGCATTTTCCAGCTAATTACGATGAACTATATTTGTGCCATTGATCGAAAACGTGTTAATAATAAGATGAAGAGTGACTGTCGTCAATAAAGGCAACAGTAGTATACCGCTGTTCAATAGTCATAATTCGATTTAGGAAAATCAAATCCGGATAAAAAACTACAACCGAGGGAAACACATCAACTATAAGAGGAAAACAACGGAACAACATAAACACTGAACTACAATAAAAGCAAACACCAACATACATAGAAACTGCCATATTCCTGACTTGGTACAGGAGATTTTAAGAAAAAAACGGTGGGTTGAACCTGGTTTTATGGCTAGCCTCCCAATTATATGGCAATGTTAAAAATACCGCTAAAATGACAAAACTACGTGACAGGAATACAGTACAAACAAACGGAAGAACATTCAGCACAGAGAAATACATAAATAAATAATAGTACATTACAACATGTAAACCGCAGAATAACAACGGACACCTCTCATGAATTTACGACAGCACACCAGGACATCACAAACGAAATATGAACGGCGCGTCACATGAATGGATCAACGTCACAAAAAGTGACGTATTTTTTGTGACGTTTATAATATCACAGGTAAATTTCTAAAAAATAAAATAGATTTGTTTTATTTATAGACATGCACATTTCCATTCTCAATTTTATAGAAGAATATTAAATTGGGATTTAGTTTGTAATGGTTTTATTTTATGTATTTTCTAACCATGACAAGAATGTTAAAATGGAATTGTGTTTGTAATGGTGCTATTATTAGTATTTTCTAACCATCTGGGTTTTCTTCTAAATCAAAACTGTGTATAAACAAAAACAAAAATCCTGTGTATAAATTTGCTTTAAACTTAAAATCATATAAATGAAGTAGCTGATATTTTATCTTAAATTTTACATACATATAGAAAAAAAAATAAAATAACTGTAATATAAGGCAAGATCATGAAGACCAAACAGTTACACACATGAAAACAAACAGCATAAAACAAAAAACCCTGTAGACGAACCACGAGTAACTCGACTATACTGACAAATACGACATATGTGAAATGTACCGAAAATACAGAATTCAAACCAAAAACAAAATAAACAGACAACAACTCAGCACATAATGACCCATCGGACCCACATGTATAAGAAAATAACAACAAAATACCCGGAAGCGGGATATATAAATACTGAACAACGTCGTCTCCAACAGCCATAACACATAACAAAATATCCAACCGGACTTACAAAAGAAACTTCATAACTAAATACATGAATGTTGGATAAAATAAATACATAAGATTCAAGTTTTCACGTTAATCAGTTGAATACTGACTAATATGGCTATTTACGATTTCAAACCTTATATCTATCTCGACTGTATATACTATTTGATGACTTTAGAAAATAAAATTTAAGTGAAACAAATACTTAAGAATCACTTGTATATTATACGTCAACAAAGCAACGGAATAAATGAACAAATCATTCCAGGAAATTAGTCGCCATTATGCACTGGGCAATAATGTGTATTCATTTTCAACTCTTACCAGTTTGGACATAAGTTTTGTCTTGACTACTGAACACCTTTTATTTTTTAAACACGTTTTTTTCTAACAATGACAGTTATTTTAGTTCAAAGTGCATACTTAACTAAAAACCTTCCAAAGTTTATAGAGTCAATTTAACAAATAGTTATCATTTTTGGTTAGATGTCAAGTAAACTCCGTTTAATTTCATTGTAGTCAATAACAAATTACTTTATTATTATTAGATGATTTCAAAATTAAATGGTTTTTTTTTATTATACAATTAAACAGTTTTATATCACATGAATATATTCCAATGAAATTTGTTCTATAATGTTAAAATGAATATGTTTGATTGTAAAGGAGGTGATAAGATAAGATAAGACCAAGTGATTAGGAACTGGCATGATTTACATTATACGCAGTAGGTTTTGCTCACTAAAATATGACAAGTTCGTTTTCTTTTGCTAACATATAAAATTCAAGTAACCGATTTGATGCAGCAAGTGATCTTTCCGCGAGTTTTTGATTAATACCATTAGCGACGTTGCGAAAACAACGTAATATTATATGCCCTTTAGGCTCTTTTTATACTATAAATGTATTTTATGTGTTACAGCAGAGACCTTTAATATGAACTGGGACGTTATAACCGTAGTTTGTATTTCACTTTTCGCTTATAACAGAAGAACTAATAAGGACACGTAAATCTTTAGTACCTGCATAGCTCCTTATTTTACTTGTACTCCTGTATTTGTATATAAAACAAAACTTACGATTTAGACGATGGGAGGCCTACAATATAGACAAATAACATTATTTTATTGTTCCAATTTCAAATCCTTATTCAGGCAAAAGAGAAGCGTGTGTATTCATAAGAAATGCAGCAATCAATGAAACCTATTCAATATATACAACAATATGAAATTAACTGTCATGTTTTAGGTTGCTTTTCTTATCCTAGTTTGTATTCTGCAAATAAACTCATCATAGATACCAGGATTGAAATTGTGTACGCCAGACGCTCGTTTCGTCCACAAAAGACTCATCAGTGACGCTCTAATTAAAAAAGTTAAAAAGGCCAAATAAAGTATGAAGTTGAAGAGCATTGAGGACCCAAAATTCACACTCTTATTATATCAAAGTGATATATTTCTAGATTGCACATCAGATGTATATATAGAATTTTATCTTATAACATTATACAAGATAGATCGATAATTGATTTTATTAAAGTGTCACCATCCATTGCAATATCTATATATATATATACTAGTACACAAAGTCATAAACGCCTAACATTAAGTAAAAGTGTGCTAGCCGAGCACGAATTATGAGACACTTTCGTTAAAACAGACATCTTACATATACATAAAAGGACGAAATGTTTACATGTTAGTAGCATTTCGTAATCTTTTTTTTATACAGCTTCTAGATTACAACGTGTTTTCTTCGGTAAACCATAGAATAAAGGAAAGTAGCTAAAAGAGGAACCACATATTAAACACACCTTTATGATTCTCTAAATCATCATAAACATCAATAGCATCTTTGGTCCCAAGTGATTCATAAGTTTTACTTGTTCTGCAATATGCACTAAATAATCATAGCAATTTATTCAATATAGAAATGTAATCAAAATGGAACAACTTTGATCAAAATGGAGGAATCTTGATTATCTAATGTGTATTCATTAGAAATTCTGTAAAAGCTATTGATAACGTCAAATAAAGTTTTAAAAACTGTTAATACTGTTATAATGTTAACTCTTCCCTGCCCAGCGTATTCATTCTTGTAATCCTATTGCTGTCAAAACCCCCGTCCACAAAACCTTACCAAATTCTTTTTATAATTTATGTTTGGTGTTAATTCCTTCCAGATAAGTTTTATTTTTGGTATCATAGCTTGGTTAAAAGTCTTTTCGAAATGTATTTTGTTGTAGTAGAATAAACTAAGAAAACATCTTATGTTTAGTTTTGTTGTTTTTAGACCAACGTGTTAAAAATGAATAACAAAACACCTTGACATTTGATATTACGAAATCAGATATAATATGAAATGTAAAACGATTTGTTGCAGGAGTGCAACTTTTTTAATGCACCTTTGCGTATACTGTGTCAATGTTTAAGCAGCTATCACGTGTACTTACTGTTTTTGTTGTGTATCTGAAACAAATACATCCTTCATTTAATGAAAAACAATATTAGTAAATTTAACTACATGTATTTCAGGTAAATGAATTACTGTTTCACAACGTAATTAAAGCATTGTGTTCGAAAAGGCTTTTAATATTCTTGCATTGACAGTATCAAATGTAAAATTAAGTGTTGTATTATTGACGACAAAAAATCATATTATTATTTTAGTACACACGGTCTTAGTTAAATCGATTTATGACTATTGAACAGCGGTATACTACTGTTGCCTTTTTTTTTAGAAGAATTCTATTTAGTGCATTATATGTGACTTACCTGATTTACTGACAACGTCTTCGTACTCTTCTACAATTTGCACGTTCTGAAAGCTACTATTTTCATAAAATCCAGTTTTTCTTAGAAATAAATAGTAAATACATTTTGTAAATGTTGTTTTGTTATACAGATTAGTTGTTTCAAAGGGATCAATGTAATATTTACCTCTGAGGGTAGTTAATTAACACCGGTCATTTTGGTATAAATGTGTTACCAAGGACTATGAATTATCATTTTTAAACAGTAGTTACGCGTTAAATTTACTAGTGACATAGGATTGTCATACCTTCCGATACATACTAGTGCAGCCGTGATTATTAATGTTCATTTTTATATTTTTATTTGTTATCCCTTGTTTTTTCAATCTTTTGTCGTTTGACTATAGTTTTTCACCTCCCTCTTTGCTCTATTCAATTTAAGTTTTTAGTGATTGCATATATATGATTGCAAAATTCCCATGAATTACAAGAACACATTTTATCAGTTATAGTTTCATGCAAAGGGTTATAACTGGGATATACACCATATTTACTCTGCCGTTCTTTTTTTTCATCTTTTAAAATCATTCCTTGTGTTCAATCAAACAACAATACCCATGTCATCCAAGCAGTATGACAAATTATGTATTCGGCATGGGCTGATTACCCATACAACTATTTATACTGGGAGATCGAGATCGATTCTTTTGTATGATTATTGTGAAATGAAGGTAGGTTATCCAAAATGGAACAGCAGGGTTGAAGGGCTGGCATTTAGGATTGTTAATGGAAAACAATAGTATGTTGGACAGGAACAGATGTTTTGCCTTGCAACAGGCTACATACGGACCCTGAAAATTTGCCTCTAACCAAAACTGTATAATATATAAAACTGTGAGATTATAGCTTTGACATTTGAAAATTATATTGTGTTCATATTGTAATAATAATATTATTTTTTTGACCTTTGAAGATATAATAATTCGCAGTTTAATATGTTATTGTATTTGAACACATTCGGTCTGATTACTGACATTATTTTTGTTCTTTTGACTTGTCTCTTCACCTACCACTCCCTTACATTGAAACCGAGTGTAAAGTAATTGTGTAATTAGTTCACACACTTGCACACTTTGTAGTTGCGGGTCCTCTACTTATATTGAATCGAATTTAATAAAATTTGTACGAAACACGTGTTCATTATGTAATAACTAATCTCAATTCCAACGACGTTTCAATCGAGTAATATTTTTGTTCTTTTCACCAATTCAAATCGTATCATTTTAAAATCACGATAGAAGTACTATCTATGTATCTGCAACTCATCTGTATTTAGTTGTTTGGCTTAAATGAATTTTTTACAAAGTCTAGAGTTCAAAAAAGCGTGTAAAAACACGAGTTTTCTGTATTTCTTCAAATTAGAGTGCGTGCATTTATTTTGTAGTTGAAACAAACGCCTATTAGATACACGGTACTTGTTTGATTTATTTTTAATTTGCAGAACAAATTTATATTTGACACGAGTTTTTTTACATTTAACTGTGGTACTATTTTCCTTTATTTATTTTCATTTTTAAATTCAAAAGATTTCTGGAATGATATACCAAAAACAAAATCAAAATATTTTCAAATAGGGTAAAGGAGATATAATCTTTACAAGAGTGTCAAGCTTATCAGCTTACCATTGTTTTTTTTTTTTTCTATTTTCATAGTTTTGTTCCTATAATATAATGTTTATGTTATACATTTTTTCATTTTTTTCGAAAATCAAATCTCTTCTAATGATAACAGACAACTTTAAACATGACATCTATCTGTAAACAGTTTACCTCTGATACAAAATATATCAAAACATATTTGAACGCAAGAATATAGGTACAGCCTGAAATGAATATGCAAATTGAATGTAGCACTAGCAGTCTTTTCAAAACTGTATTTTCAAATGCAGGTATGATTTTCCAAAATATTCTACAAACGGTAAAACTCTTCAAAGGGACAATTGATAATAATAAGTCGTAGAAAAAGGGTAGCACCATGGCCTTACGGAAATAAGTTCTTGTATAAAAGTCGTAATGCAACCGATTAAGTATTTCTTACCAGAGTCCAAGATCAAGCTTAAGACTTAAAATTCTATTCTAGGCTACAAGTGTGAATGTGTCCAGATCATATTAAAACAGTGTTATCTCAGACAAGTCAAAGAAGAGGAATTTATAGCTCTGGACAGCACTTCAACTCGACTAGTCAGACAAATAAGTAATTATAAATTATATATACATGTGTATATACAACTGATATGCCCTATTTGGTTTCCCAACTACTTCTGTTGTTTCCAAAGTTGTGTATTTAAAATAAAAACCAATGCATCATATATGCCGTTAGTCATGTTAGTTGTGAACACTTGGTCTATTATTGCACTCCACCAGATTTTAGTATTCAAGCAGTGAAAAAGTATTGTGATTTCAATTGGGAAACCGTTCGCTTAACTGTTATTTTATCATTCTAATGTATCTACTTACTTTTTAGTTTGTTGCTTGCCTGTCAATAAGCGTACACTTTATTACGAATGAATCCAAATTAAGACACGAAAGAAATATTTTGATAAATGTATGATTCGCTAGAGAAACTTCATATTAGTAAATGATTTTCATTTCTGGGAACTTTTCAATGATATTTTATTTGTAAACTTTATGTAACATATAAACAATATATATTTGCATGCTTCGTAACTAATTATAAAATTATAGGCAATAGAATATTGACAAAAGAGACGGACAAAAAGATTTAATATAACAAATGCAATATATGCGTCCGAAGCGACCTCTAAATCTAACCTTCATCAGTAACGTCCAAAGCCGAATATTTCAAGACGATACCAAGGCAGCAATCACAAACTAGTCCAATGCAAAATGAAAACACCATAACAAAAAAGATAACCGACAAATAGACAAACAACAATGACAATACATTTCATAGAAAACTAAAGATTGGGCAACACGACCCCCCCCCCCCCCCCCCCCAAAAAAAAACAGTTGGTTAAACTCGAGTTCCTCTAAAGGCAGGACGTTTCTTTCCAGTAAGTGGCACCCTTCGTGTAACTCATTGTAAAAATTCGGCGATAAGCCGCATTCGATTATGTCACAAAGGAGCGATAAAAGAAGGGATTATTGTTTCGAAAAATGAATTTAAAAATAAAGAGATGTGGTACGATTGTCAATGAGGCAACTATCCACCAGAGTTCAACTGACAACGATACAAGCAATTATTATCAGTGGTCATCTGTGACACAGATATGCCGTAATGATCAACCAAATTATGATAACGTCCGTAAAACTGCCAAAATAATCACTCTAACTTTATTATTTGGAACCCTTGAAACAACAGTTGTATTGCAAGCTGTCACACTCTAGCAATCACCACTCAATCAATCAACCTATCAAAAAATCATGAAGGGAAATGCAAGTATGAAGTATCGTATCTGGCAGATACATAAGTTGTGAATGTGAAGTTAAATGTATTTGAACATTTCCCAAACGTGACATGCGAATCAGTAATGCTCAAATTTCCTCATTCCTGAGATCACTTCCTCTTGTGTTGTGATGACACTTCGCGACGCATAAGCCTTAGCTTAGTATACATTTTCGCTGTTGGTACTGGTCTTTGTTCTTGTTTGTCCGTTCATCTGTCTTTTTTTATCTTATTTTGTCATGTTCATGTATCAATCTTTGATAATGGTGACAGACTTACTTTTAAGTAAATTTTATTAACCGACTCTTCCATTGTAATATCTTACAGCCCACGTATTCAATTTTATCCCTGTTCATCTGAAACGAACCGAACGAAGGGTGGATGGTATTCAAATATTCTATCTGAATATAATTATAGAAAAGTTTACTACTAATTGCAGTGTAAATAAAATGTGTTTCCGGAAAAAGCTTCATCAAATACGATCGAAACAGAATGTTGTGAAAGTCGTGTAAATAAAAATCATATGAACAGAGAATCAGGGAAACACGTTTGGGGTTATTCGTTTTAATGTTTACAAATTTACCTTTTCTCTTTTTGAATATCAATATGCTTATGATCGTGGCGCATACAATCAGTGATACTACCAACACACCTGCTATGGCGCCAATAACTGCGTTTGAGGATGTTTGAGCCGCTGTAAAGAAGATTTATTTTTCGTTTTAAATAATTTATATAGAAATGAAATCGTAAACAATATAAAATATCCATGCTATGTACTATCCATATAAATATAACAAAAAACTCGCAATGACAAATTTCTCCTGAATTTATTTATTTATTTATCTCAGTGTGAAATCTGAACTCTGTAAACGTTTTTGGAATTAGAACATTAAAACAAAACATTTTGAATAATTTCACATTTACAATATGTATCAAAATGCATAAAAACAGAAAACAGTTTTGAAAATTCTGTTCTTAACTGCCAAAAAAAATATCTGAAATCCCAGAAATCGAACAGGTTATTTTCACCTAATACCTGACTTTAGAGTTCTTGTTGTCTCAATATCTGTATGTTGGCTCTGGTTGAATTTATTTTTTGCATACATTCGCAGTTCATATGATGTTTTGTCTTGAAGTCCTGACAAGGTGTAAATGTTGTGCGAGTCTAACTGGTTACTGTTTTTGATTTCCTGATGCACCCATGCATTAGTTCCACTAGTACGATATTGTAAGTAGAAAGTCTGTGTTTGTCCACCATCGTAGCCAGGTATCCATTGAACTGTAATACTGGTTTCTCTTGAACTAGTTATTGTAAAGTTTGATGGCGTTTCTGGTGGACCTAAAATCATAATTGTTTTCCATCATCTGTTTTTAATTGAAATATTTACTGCATTATTAACTTATCATATAGTAGTTAACCACGGTTTACAAACATAGACTGATTTAAGGGTCATAAGTATAATGACTCGAAAAAATTGAAGGAAATGCACTTTTTTTTTAAAGATATCACGTCACTTAAAAGTAGTTTAATAAAAATAATTCTACGTACAATAATCTTTACTTACTTGCAGATTCCAGAGTGACTTCATACTGTATATACTGACTACCGTAGTAAAGACGTAAAGTATAATTGGTAAAGTCAGCATCCTGTAGATCACTTATAGTCAATGTAACCCTGTAACCATCTAAATGTACATCTTCACCATGAAACACATCTTTAACTATTGCAGATTCTTCCGTGATGGCATATTTGTTCGATTTTAACTGTGTATTACCTATATACCAACTTATCCTGGAAAACTTCGGAAAACTGTACACATTGACATATACTTTAGTACTTTTTCCAAACATTCCATACTGTGTTGAATTGTCTTTGTTGTCAGCTGTTATCACTGGTGCAGCTTAAACATAGAAACAGAGTTCATTAACATTATATTTTAGTTATGTAAATAGACAAAATTGTAACATGAAAATTGACGGTTGAGCGAAAGTAATCAATGATAAATAAATTAATCATAGACATTGACTAAATGTAAAAGAACCAGTTGTATAGGAATTTAGTAAATACTGAACTATTTTCAGATTAAATGAATTTAGTTCTTTTTATGAACTACACATATATACTGTAACCGTATTTTGATAAGTCACAAACACATGCAATTTTAAAGTAAACACTTTATTTGCCTTTTAACGTGAATAAACTTAAAGAAATCTCCCTCTTCGAAAGTTTACAATCTTGACATTCCTTTATCCTTTTGGAAAATATCTTTTAGATAGATGTATGTTTTCAATGTTTCACTCAAAGTTGAACACACAATATATTGGGCAGACTTACGGAAAACAACCAATACAATGAAATCAAACAAGACTTAAAGATCTTAAACAAAAGATATTTATATGAGAAATATCAAACTCTAAATCGACATAGATATATTTCAAACGCGAATAAATTTACAAAAAGTTCTTTTTTACATAACATAAATAACGAAAATATCTTCTTTGTTTGTAAAAGAGAAAGTCCTACAAACATCTATGTTTTTGTATAATGAAAAACTATAGATTCTACCATTGTTTCAAGTGTAATATTTCTCTTCTCTAGACAGTTAAATTTTCAAATATAAAACGCCAAGCTTTTTAAATATTATAAATTTAAATGTCCAGAGCTGGGAAGAAATAACGAGATTCGGTGGTGGAATCTGTTTCTTTAATGATTTTTAGACAATATATAAAACGATCTGCCAACAGATGTGTTCGTTTTAACAGTTGACGCCATCAGGCCTGGACGCCTTTTTTCATAATAGGATTTTTATAGAATATTTAAATCATTTGAATAACTAAATTTTGGCAATTAACAACTGAAATCAAACGAGCTACACGTTGATTAAATAAAATATCAACTGGTCGGGGAGAAAATAAAGCGGTTAACAATTAGAGAAATTGTATTATTATTGTTGTATCTTTAGAATGATTTTAAAAGCAAATTATGATAAAAAGGGAAGAAAACATTGACAAAAAACAATGTGTGTAGTACTATAGAGTAAATATATCTTACCATTACTAAAAATATATCCGGATCCTGTTTGTTTAAATTGTCCATTTATTCCCATTATACCATTTTCAGTTGTGCATGCATATTCACCAGTGTCCTGATACCTCTTATTTTCGGATGCGTGCGGTAATGTCAATATCTGGTTATTTTCACTAAGCGTTCTTATATGTTCACCATACTTAGATCTGTGATGCCAGATACAAGTGTTTACTAGGGGATTACTATCTAAACTACTTTGTATCTGTCTGATTGACTGTGTCTGTGAAAACGTTTTATTCTGAACTATAACAACAGGTGCATCTGTTTGAAATAAAATAGGACTAAACTTGCACCAGACACATCAGCCACACGGAATAAGTGGGTGTTTTTTTGCTAATCTCAATGTTCAACTTATACTAAATTCGCATACATATTTGCCAATTCAGTATATACAAGATTTTTCTAATATCTAATGTGGTACAATCAACAGGATATTAGTACTTGTTTGCATCAATAGATATACAAAGTAAGGATATGCAATTTTAATGTAAATAATTATTCCATGTACTAAAAGTAACGTAAACAAGTTAAATATTATAACAATAAACAGTTGTCAGATGAGATTATCGATCTGTCAAAAACGCCACAACACAACAGGTCAACTATTTTGGTGACCGAAATATACCATGCTTGTGAAGAATGGATTTAAGTTGAAAAACCTGTCATTTAGCAATTATAGAGTATTACGGTAACGGATAGAACAACAGCTATTCATTTCAAAACATAGACGATCTGCAAAAATTTAAAACTGATTCGCCAAGTCGAACAATATAGATATCTAGATGTATAAAAACAGTCATACCAGGCTCATAATGTAGTTTGGAAGACGTGCTTTTCGTATACAGAAAATTTATTAGTGGCACTTGACGCAAAACAAATGGGAGGCTAAATAAGTTCAGATCATAATGAGTACTAAATGTTGTGCCACATTTATTTTTTATTTACAGTAACATTTTTAGCATTCATTTCATTCGTATTTTCCGACGTATATTTTGCGCGAAAGTGGGTCATACTTATTTTCACTTTTGCACAGTTGCTTGTTATGCGGAATGATCTTTCATAGTTACAACATAATTACCTTATTCAGACGTTATTAATACATCCTATTTAATCCATATTTATCCTTTTATAAAGTTAGAATTATCCCAAATCCTACTTGTCAACTAGAAGGCCACGTTGGTTTACTTTCACATTTGTGTACACATGTACTATTTTAGCGTGTATTGAGTGACGTCGTCTAACAGTCAGTTTCAAATAAGAGCCCAGACTGAACAGCTGATTTTGACAGTTTACAGTATTTTGTTATTCAGGTATTTTTGCACACATGCAAGTTATTTAAAATACATTGCAATTTATTTATAATAATTAATAACTATTATTAATGACATAAGCTTTTAATAAAGCTGCTTTTATTTATCAAAACAAATCTTGTTTAGACTTTCAAAACAGATTAATACTGTGATTTTATAATTGATATTTGCATAACATCTGCCAACCATTTATAGTATCGGTTGGCGCTTCACTAAAAACAAATACAAAATCCAAAACGCATTGCAAAATGTGGCTAAGGATATCATATGTGCATAGGGTTAAATAAACCATGGTGTTTCGCGTGAACATAACAAGCTCCCACCGTCCGTCGTAACCTTGCGTTGACACTTATTTTAACAAGATCACAGACACGATAGATTTTTTAATATTTGTAAAGAAATTTACAGTCGTTCTAATCATTTTATCTGTGAAAATATATTTTTCTCTTCTAGTAAATAAAATGTGAAGGTATTTTATCAACTTAAACCGCGGAAAATTCTATAGATAGCAAAAGCTATAGGCATGATATAATAAAGCATTAAGTAAAATCTTTCTTCCGCTGGTCAGCTGACGATCTTTAATAGACCTTATCGCTATTTGGAAATCTGCGCCGCTTGACCCAAGAATCTGCGCCGCTTGAAATTTTGATGCCATACAACAATCACTTTTCTGTTGTGGCGTCAGATATTTTCTATTGACGTCAAAATTTAACGGTAATCTTTGTGATGTCCAGTAATGGCGGACAAATAGCGATAAGGCGTATACTAACAGGCCATTCATAAATATCGATAACCTAATATTTATGATAAGAATTGATGAAACCTTATATCATTTATGTTTTATCCTACTCTTGAGCGGCATATTCATAAGTGGCACATTTTGACCTTGCTTCCAAATTATATGTAGTGTCTTTTTATATTTCCTTTTTTTCAAGTTATTTGTCACCCTGTGGGTAGCTGGACTGTTCATGTACTTTTTGTGTGTTTTAATTTTTTACATGTTGTTTAAATAGAAAAATAGGGAGAATGTTGTGCGCAAATAAAATTTGTTCAATGATATTATTGTTCATAATCTACGCCACCATAGATCTCACGGAAGAAGAATAAATCGTAATAATTAAATGTCAGGTGATCAGAAGTTAGCTTAACAGACCTGAAGACTTAATTTAAGAACAGTGTTAGACAGGTTTATTGTCTTTGCTATGTTCCCTACCCGTTAATAAAACAGTCAAAAAAAATATATCGAATGTAACATTGTATCTTTAAATAGTCCATCTTATGAATTTTCTAAATAAGGATAAACTTTTTTGTTCATCGGCTTTTTTCACACTCTTATAAATAAAAGCAACAGTAGTATACCGGTGTTCAAAAGTCATAAAACGATTGAGAGAAAGCAAATCCGGGTTACAAACCAAAACCGAGGGAAACACATCAACTATAAGAGGAAAACAAATGAAAAACAGGAACACCGAAAAGCAAAAAAAACAAACGCCAACACACATAGAAACGAATTATTTGATAACAACTGCCATATTCCTGACTTAGTACAGGACATTTTAAGAAAAAATGGTTGGTTGAACCTGGTTTCATGGCATGCCAAACCTCCCGCTTTATGACAATGTTAAAAATATCGCTAAAACACTACGTGACAGAAATACAGCACAAACACACGCAAGAACATTCATAACAGAAAAATGCACAAACAAATAATATAATAGTCGACACAACATGCAAACCACAGAACAACAACGAACATATTCCATCAAAGAAAAACACCATAGGATATCAAAAACAAAAAATTAGAATTATAGCATGTAAAACAAAGATAGAACTGACTACATCAAATAATATAGAGTAAACAATAAGTACTAGTATAAGAAAATTGTAGGGCATTTTATCGATTATAGTCTGAACAAGTTTTGACCAATTTCCTTTATATAAGCGTCCCTCTTAAAATTAGGTACAAAAATGATACTCACTATCATTTGCTTATTGCCTGAATAAATAATGAATTTTTGAAAGTTTCCAACAATTTACTTTAATATATACAAACAAAATATAACTAGTATTTGGAACTACATTTAAACAATAATGCAAAGGACCAGGTTCACTGTTGCCATAATATGACATTTAATTTGAATTTTGTCATAAAAAATGCGACCGAAGCACTTTTCTGGATTGACCTTTATCATGAACGTTCAAATCCAATATTTGAAAACCAGGGATGTATAAGTACCGAAACACGTGAAAAGAAATATGACCAAATGGGACCTACATGTACAAATAATAGTTAAATTCATTTTTTTTGTGTGAGGGAGAAGGAACCTTAGTTTCTTAATAATTTATACATTTATAAACGGACAATTTTTGAAATGTATCGTAAAATGTCAAAAAGGTAACAATTTTATTCTAAAAGACAAATCTTTACATGAAAGTACTGTATATTTTGAAAATTGGGTAACAATCCGATGATTTTGTGCATTTTGTTTTACATAAAAGCTTCAGAAAAACGTCCCAAATTTTTGTGACAAAAATGTGTTAGGGTTACACTTGTAGGTACAATTGTCTAGATCAGGCATTGCGGCTACATTTGCCTATTATGAAAACTCTTCTAAGTTACGGAACGATTGGACCAAACTGATTATTCAACGCATTCGATGCAAAATTAAGGGGTCAAAACTTAGAATCCATATGTTCTGTGACCGAAACGTGCCAAATTTAACCGTATTGAATTCCTACATTTTGAAGATACAATCTTCTACATCAGGGATTGTGGCCAAATTTGCCTATTCTTTAAACTATTAAAAACTAGGCGAAGGATACCAAAGGGACATTCTAACTCATAAGTAAAAAATAAACTAACAACACCATGACTTAAAGAAGAAAAAGACAAACAGACACACAACTGTCCACAAAACACAACATAGAAACCAAAGACTGAGCAACACGAGCCCATCAAAAACTGGGGATGATCTCAGGTGTTTCCGAAGGGTAAGCAGATCCTGTTCAACATGTGGCACCCGTCGTGTTGCTCATGTTAGTGCAAACCAGGTGATCAGTCTAGTTCGATAAGTCACATTCGGGGAAAAGAGATAGGATTGTAGTTACGACAATTTGAATAGATCCGTTGTCACCTGTGAGACGGATATTCCATAACGGTCAACCAACTTGTGATGGCGTCCGTAAAATTAACGAAGGGACGATTTCAACTTCACCACTTGGAACTCTTGGTTTAATAGCTTCCTTGTGAGCAGCAACCCTTTATCAAAGAAATCAATTTAGGAAATACAAGCCCTGGAATATCGACTGGGAGATATATACTCCGTAAACATGCAATTTCTAATTTCTAATTATAAGTCATATAAAAGTAAGACCAAAGTAACGTTACAACACAAATAATACACAATTAAGGGGTAATAACCTCGAATCTTATAATATGATGTGCAAAAAAAGAAGTTTTGTATTTAGGATATTTTAAAGCAATTATTTCTATGCAACATTTGTAGTACTTTGTCCAATTTAAAATAAGATATATATATAAAAACGCCAAGCAAATTATAAACCTTTGTAAATCTATTCAACTTTGTATGAAAGGAAATCATTAAACAATATCTATGGAACTTGAAAGACAAAATATAGCTAAACCTTTCATATAATATCAGTTTCGTTTAGAAAATCTTTAAATATTTTGAATAATTTCAAAATTTTTCACAATCTAAAGAAATATAGCATTTAGTAGAGGCTGGGACTATTATTTGCCATTTACGTAGTTCAACCATTTTTTAACATTGTCATGATAGCTTTATAACATTGTTGTTTAATATCAAAGTTTGGTAAAGTTGTAAAGTTCTAAGTAATTACTATGCGGATTTCGACAATTTCCTTTGCAACCAATAAAACAAAGTCGATATGAGCACCAGACTAGACCAGGTCATTCTTAAAACAATACCTTCATGAAAGATTAATCTCATGTACAAAGATACTACTGTGGATAAAACCTATAGATGTTTTAGAAAGGGTATGGCTCAGACTTAGTTCAGTAGGAAAACTTAGGTCAAATGGCCATTTACTATAAATCTAGGTAAATTGAAATACACCTTAACGTCATGTCAAAATCAACGTGTGAATATTTTTTAGTACTTGTATCACGTTAGTTCTACATAATTTCTAAAACAGGATAGCCTGGATATATTCAAACTATTTTGCTAAATATTTTAGTCTATTCTTCTCACCATCATTTTATTGATATACAGTAGAAACGAATATCATTTGAAAAGTTGATGTATCATTTACGTACGTATCATTTACACAATTCCTACAATCATTATAGTTTGACTCACAGTTGACATTTAATGTTAGAGATGTTTCCATGTAACCAGCAACATTTACAGCTCCACATATTAATTTCTGTCCATTATATCGTCTGTCCACTCTGTATATTATATTAGATGTCACGGTATATTTATTCGTTAATAATTCATGGTTAGATTTGGTTGTAGAGTTTATTGTGACATTAATTCTTTGTTGTCCAAGTACCCAATACACAGAGGCAGCAGGACGACTTCCATTAGACTGACATGATACATCAAACGATTTTGATTCTTCTGTACTCAAGGTTTCGATAGAGAAAGGAGTAATAACTGGTTTTACTAATAACGAAAAAAAGAGAAATGAACCAGACATGTCGTTTCAAGATCATCATTAGTTGTGTATTTGTTCTACATTTTGTTGTGATATTCGCTATAGTTTTACAAATTCCGGTTATGTTATTTCCATATATCATTAGATAAATTATTTCAATCCTAAATTTTTAAACATGTAAGATAGCAATTGATTTGTTTATCTATAATATATTTAAATAATGAAAATAATATGAGCGGTACCAATTTCACTGCACTTGATGCACATTTCGACAATTCAAGTCAATATGGGGATGCTCGAGGCTAAAACATTTGAAAATAAAAAAAACCTAGTACAAACTTTGAAGTGCTGAATAAATAAAACAAAAAGGACCATCTGTATAGCAAAACCCGAACAAGGAATTGTTGCGAGCATGAGGGTGATATATTTCTCATTTCAAATTTTTTACAAAATTTAAAAACATTAAATTTCAATAAAACAATACACATATTTGCATGCAAGCATAGATTTGGAGGTACTGGACACTGTGATTCCCAAAGGATGTGACAGTCCACCATAAGTAAGAGTACCAGTTTACTTTCACCTTGACAACAAGTTTCCATAAACAGAGTTTTCTCTCGTTTTTATTAATGATGAGGTGTATACTACGACATAAGTAACTCTATACATGTTTCTTTCTAAATGAACTTGTCTTATCAGAAATATAAAATTTAAGATGTGCACGATCAAATCCAAAATAAAACCAAAGGAAAGGAACAAGAAGAAAATCACCTGTTCCAAACAACATATCCTCTGGAATAAACACTAATATAAGCCTTACCATGGTTATGGTGGTCACAGAAATGCTGAAGAAGAGGATATATTTCGCTTGTATTATGTTGTGTTTTGAAACACTGACAATTGAATTATAGGGTTTCTATGTATTGTGTAATAGTATTCGAATAGAAACTAAAGAAATATGTCTATTCAAAACCTACAGGTAGAAAAATCGAAAATCACCAAACTAGAAAGGTTACACACGCTTTATCATGGAAAATTGGCCGTTTTGTTATGATATATTTTTCATAGAACGAGAACAGAAGATAGGATTATCTCAGATTTCAACGTCTGAGGAACTAATAAAAATTAAGATAAAGATGCATTACAAATACATTTACATGTATCATCGCCAATAATACGGTTCACAGTTTTTATGAGGTTTATTGTTGCTGTTATGGATATATCAAAACCCCCCTTTTAAAATGCTAGTAAAGACGAGGTCGAACTTTCAAAAATTGGGAAAAATTACCTAAAGCATTGGTTTATTTACTTCGTTTTTGATTTATTTGTTATTCTAATTTTCGTTGATCAAATCTTTTTGCATTCTTCACTCATATCAATTTCTACTGAAGTATTTGATGAATAGTTTAATTTTCTTCATAGTCTGCATAACATGCTAAATACTTACGCTTAAGATAAATATATGCAGTAGTATTCAATGGATGGTATCTAATATCTTCATATCCTGCTCGACATGTAACATCAGAACCGTCATTAGCACCGACAGGTTTGAATGTGTGCTGTGCTGACTGTTTACCAATATAAGTAGATCCTAATATTACAAGCTTTATATCAGGTGCCGGCTGACCTCCTACAGCTGTACATTTAATAGTCATATCTTGTCCTTCTATACCAGGTATCTTGTTGTCTGGTGTCACATTTTCTATAGTTATAGCTGATGGTCCAACTACAAAATATCAAATATAAAAATTTAAAATTTAATATATAAAAAAAAAAACCCATTATATCTACAACTGACTCAATGTTTGATGATTAACACTCCAGAAAAAATGTACATATGGTGATTGCTCAAATTCTTCAGTATAATTGCTTCTAGTGATTTTGACACAATTATATTTACTTAGACCCCCTTCTGGTCAAATACCTCTTTTGACAATCTGGTTTAATATGACATTTTCTGAACTAAAAATATGCAAAGTGATAATGTTTAGCATGCTTATACTATTTCAGGGGCATTATAACATTCTCTCTTTTTCCATCTGGTATTTTTAGATACAAGAATTTTATGGGTTTTTGTAAAAAAAAAAAACGTTTACTGGATGATAAAAGCAAAATGGAGACGGACATCAATCAATGTAAACAACTCACACTGGTCCTTAGTCCCAGGGTAACTAAAACATTAAACTGTTGTTTTGTTTTTTTGTTTTTTTTTTATATCACCAGACACTACTTTTAAACACATGTTGTTTATGATATGATCATCAATCATTCAGCTATCATAATTACATGAAAAAGAATCAATTCTTATATGCAATCATAAACATCCCTTTCGAATGCCAACATTTCTCTAGCCGCATCACATGTCGTATACATTCAAAGCTTCTACGGTTTGTTAGAATATGTTCTATATAGAAATGACTTTAATGAGTGTAACATTGCATTAACACAAAAGTTACTGTCACAAGATTACCAATATACAAGAACTTTAAATATTTTCAACAAATTTTACAGTCGATATTAGTACTATATATGTCTCAAATAGTTTATATTAAGTATTGATTATCCCTACCTTCAATTCATACGCCATCAATATAACTAAAACGTTCAAAGTTTATATTTTAAACCTTGAGAACGTTCAAGATTGTATCTTTCAACAACAGGGGTTACATGACTGATATACTAACTAATTAAGTTGTTTTTCTGACGATCTGAGAATTAAAGCAATTTTCAATTAATGCGATTTTTGTGTGTTTTTTGTTTGTTAAGCGGCAATTTTAAACTAACATTTTTGGCCACCATAGATAGGTTCGAGTGTCTTTTATTTCCGTGTTCAAGTTAGTGATCATAACTTTGGTTTAAAACTTTTGCGGGTTGTTTATTTTGTGTTTTACTTACAATCGTAAAAGCACGTAAAAGATTAACCCCATTACAGTTTTCCGTGTATTGGCTGTGTTTTTGTGGTAGATAGTAGTTTTAATTTTGGTGGGCTTTACTGTAAAATATTTTTGGCAATTCATGTTATCCTGGTTATGTTTTACTAAAAAGAAAGAAAATTGTATAGTTATGACATGAATACCTATATCAGTGATACAATTTGGATACTCACCAATTACTACCAGTTGCTGTGAATGTACTCTTGTAGTTTTTGAAATTGAACACTCATATCTTGTTTGATCACTTTGTCTGATGTCTAATATATTCAAATGGTATTCTCCTATACTGTGATCACCAGTAATTTTTAATCTATCTTTCACATTTGTATTTCCTAAAATTGTGTTTTCTGACAAAATTGTAGTACCCTTTCTCCAAAGGAGCCTTTGACCTAATCCCGCGTCTGCTTTATACATGCATCTAAGTTGCACCGTCGATCCCGTTAACGCATGTAAAGCATCTGTCACTACAAATCCTAAAAATGTAATTCCCCCAGCTTTACTGTTTCTGTCTTAAATAGTTAACATTAAAAGATGCATTAAGACTGGTTTCTGAGATGTATAATAAGTCAACAATTCTATCAGTCAACAGATGTTTTATTTCATCAAATTTATTTCGAATACAATTAGTGTTCAGATGGCATATCATTAACTTTTTTTGATATTTTTTTCCTTTTTTTTTTACTCAAAGTGTCAAAAAAGTCTTATTCGTCACTGGATGAAGAGATGTCACTCACGTTTTTACATTTACGGCAAAACCAATCCTCTGTTGAGTTTCCCAACTTTTCCCAATTTGTAATTGATAAGTTTATACATTTTATATGGTGGCAAAAAGAAAAGCCATATAAAATATCCCTCCATGATCTTTTCACACACCCTGCTTTGCAATTGCGCAGGTCCATGTGTATTCTTATATGTCGCTACTAACTACTAACAAAGGAGCCAAGCAGTGTTAAAAGATATACATGTATATTTTAATCTATAAAGAAGTCACTCCTAACTATCCTACTACCTGTCGATACATTTATTTTTGGCTTTGCACAAGTCATGTCTGATTTGACTCTTCATGACGTTAAAATACTTAATCCCTGGGATGTGTTTTAGTTGATTTCAGTCTCTGATGCATGATGTTTTATTATTAATTGTTTTGGCTTTTAACTAGCTGTCAGTAACTGCGAGTACTCTCAAATCGTACTTTCTTTTTAATTTGACCTGTTTATACTATTTGTAATGATTTTTTGTTATTTAATGTTAACATGGATCTTATCTATATACCAGCTTTGATTATTTGGTATTACTACAAATTTTCACTTCTTCGTACTATGAACATCAAAATTATTTCATTTCTCCTTAAATACTGTTCTTGGGTCTGTACAGGAAGTTTTATCTAGCACTTATTGTATAGTTTTATTGTTGATATTCACCCCATATGTACCAAGTGTTAAATTAGTTTTATTGATATTAAAGAAATTTCTTGGTATTCCTAAACGGAAGATTCTATACACACAGAAAAAGAAGTACACTTAACAACAAAATTATTTTCATTTACCTGTGCAAAATATGACGCAGGTTTTTTCAAAAGTGATGATTTTCCAAATATTGTTTAATATTTCACAGTGATATCATACTTTAACTTTGTTTAAACCTGTTTATTTACTTTTGACTTTAATTATTCATCTCTTATAATTTCCATTAACTATTTATTTGCATTCAGGTATCACAGATCAAATTTATTCGTTCATTGTGTGTTAATTTACGTTTTTTTATTGAATTAAGCCTTCCAATTTATATTTTATAGTGTGTCTTTCTATGTTGTGATGTTATACTATTGTTTCAGAAAAAGGAGAAGGTTTGGTACCATTAACACGTTTAATCCCGCTGCAAATGTTTGCACCAGTCTAAGCCAGGAATCTGATGTATCAGTAGTTGTCGTCTGTTTATGTAGTTCATACGTATTTCTCGTTTCTCGTTTTTATATAGATTAGACGGTTGGTTTTCCCGTTTGAATGGTTTTACACTAGTACTTTTTGGAGCCCTTTATAGCTTGCTGTTCGGTGTGAGCCAATGCTCCGTGTTGAAGGCTGTACCTTGACCTATAATGGTTTACTTTAATAAATTGTTACTTGGATGAGAGTTGTCTCATTGGCACTCATACCACATCTTCCTATATCTATATGTATGGTGTCTTGATGTAGCTAACTTCTTGTTTCTAAAGTTGATTGTAAAAATTGTTCAATAAATTTCAACAATTGTTATTGCTCTGGTGGAAAGATAGTGGTTGTTCAGTTACTTTAGATTTATTTGTTTTCGGTACCCGGAAATAAAATACAGACGGATTAACTGCGCTACAGAAGCATCAACTCATACATCGTAGTTTTAGATAACTGAACGAGTACAGGTTATCTAGGTAATATAAATATTAGCTATTTTGAAGTTATTAGTACTTAAAAGATACTAGTTGGTGTCGTAGTTCAATGAATATATAAAATTGAGAATGGAAATGGGGAATATGTCAAAGAGACAACAACCCGGCCAAAGAGCAGATAACAGCCAAAGGCCACCAATGGGTCTTCAACACAGCGAGAAAATCCCGCACCCGGAGGTGGGCCTCAGCTGACCCCTAAATAAAAATGTGTACTAGTTCAGTGAAAATGAACGTCATACTAAACTCCAAAACATATAAATGAACTAAAAGTCGATATATATATCACTGAAGAGACATTAAATTGTCGAAATCCGGATATGGTGTACAAAAAATCTTTGCACCTTTGTTTGCGGTATACCATCTTCGCCGCAAGTTTATTGTTTTCTGTTTGGTATTAAATTTATAGTTAAGATCCATTTATTATACCTTGTGATCCGTTTATTTGGCAATCGCCAATGGCAGTCAGCAGGATTTAAGAACATTTGTTGTTCGACCTGTTAGTCAAATGCGTTTTGTTAAAACATACTTTTTCACTTTTTTGGTCTTTTGGAAAATGTTGTTTGTGCTGTATTTAGACCCCTCTAACAAGAAATTTGTTTTGCACACGTATAAAAATTGCGGTTTTTATCCAACGCAATCATAGGTTTGAACGTTGTTTTCAATTTAGACTTGTATATATATATATATAAAGTACCTAGAAAAATCAACCTAACAAAGTCAGAGTAGATCTGATTCTTTACTTCCTCCCCAACAGAGTTTGGAACCTGTATTTTTCACTTCTCACATCTACAACACCGCCTAGCATTGCGCATACGCCTTATCCCCTCCTCTAACTATAGCTGATAAAAATCAGTTTTTGTTTCGGGAGGTGTTACCTTCTCGTAGATATTAAACAGGGACAATCTTATCACAAAACACGAAGCATTTTTAAGTGTACAGGAATGATCATATACTCATCTCTTCAGTATAATCACAGGTTGCTATTCTATTTTCAAAAGCATACATTCACTTTGAATTTATAATGAGATATGTCTGCCTATGTGTAGTGACAACTGTAAATTATACCTTGTCCGTCGGATTTCTTATGATTAAGAAATACCAGGCGTATGAGTATTTGTAAAGTACCTAGAAAATCAATATATGTGTATAAGGTTTTTATTTCAAAAGTAATCAATTTGTTTAAAGTTGTTTCACGAAAGCGTTTGCTGGGGTATACATCTGAGGCGCCTTTTGTTTATGCATATGGTTTGAAATTTTGAGAAATAGATGTGATCATGTGTTACCTTTGGTACCTAGAGTTTACACACGGTGTTTGTTCATTTACTTGTCACAGGTAACACATAAGAGCGTTGGTAGATAAAAAAGTTGCGTCACAACATAAAAGAAAACGTTTCCACGAAGTAACACAGATTCGAGCTTTAAAATGCAGTTTATTTAAAAAGGTGTACAGTCATGTACTTTTAGCATTTTAAAAAAAGTAATTGTTTTGTTTACACTTAAAACAAATCACTGTCAAAATGTTCACCCACATAAAAATTCAATAAATTACATTAAATATTGAGGTGCGTTGAATCAGGAATGGGGATTTGTGGCGGTGATGGCGGTGTTGAAGAGGGTCTCCAAATTGTAATTGCACATATCATGGACATTTCACATGAGATAACTTATTTTTTACCTTCAAACATGACACCCCACCCATTGCATGTGTATCTTCCCCTAAAAATAGAATAAAATAATTAAAATCACTGATTGAGAAGTATACAAGTATACACTAATCCATTTGGTGGTCTTGGGTAGTGGTTAGAAGAAAGGGTGGGAATATAAATAAGGTGGCAAAAATACCGTCTTTTGTTTCACCCACAGGTAACATATAGGTGGATATTCAAACACACGCTATGTTTTGGGTGCACTCGATTCTTTTCTTGTATATAAACACGTGTAATATGAAGTATTTAGTTTTTGAACTATGAATTACCTCATTGTATATTTACTAAATTATGGAGTATGCAAATTTAGCAATATAAATTACAAGTTGTTGGAGAAACATTGAACATTCACTGTGGCTTAGAACTTGAATATTTCCTAATAAAATATTTTCAACACCTGAATTGTAAAATTTACTACTTTTTTATGTGAAAAAATACCAGGCATACCATATTATTTTTAAATAAACTTATTCTGAAAGGTTACTTATTCAAGACTGTAATTAAATCTTTGAATATTGTTTTTATTGGTATAAAAATATTGATTTTGTTATCAGCAAATTAAAACCATACTAAATATTACACATATGTACTTTCACGGTACTACAATCTGTCGATACCTATATTTTTGGCATTGCACAAGGTCATGATTTTCTCTGACTGTTAATGACGTCTTTACACTAAACCCATTGGATGTTGGACGTGTACTGATTGATAATTTAGTCTTAGATACATGTTTTTTTTTATTAGATGGTATTGGCTTTGAACTAGCTGTCAGTAACTGTGAGTACTCTCAGATCTGTACTTAGTGTCTTTTTGTTGTGGGGATGTATAAGTACCCGTCCATGTCCTCTCTGTGGTTTTGTTAGATGTATTTCTATTTGTATCCATCGGATGAGTTAAGCTTTTTTCAACTGATTTTTATAGTTTGTTCTTATGTTGTACTGTTACACCACTGTCCCAGGTTATGGGGAGGGCTGAGCGCTTACAAACATGTTTAAGCCCCCCACATTCTTTGTGTGCCTGTCCCAAGTCGGGAGCCTGTAGTTCAGTGGTTGTCGTTGGTTCATGTCTGTCATATTTGTTTTTCGTAAATTGTGTTGTTTTAAATTAGGCCGTAAGTTTTCTCAATTGAATTGTTTCATATTTTTCATGTCGGGGCCTTTTATAGCCGACCATACGGTATGGGTTTTTCTCATTGTCGAAGGCCGTACGGTTGCCTATAATTGCTTACATCCACTACATTTGAACTTTGGTGTATAGTTGTCTCATTGGCAATCATACCACATCTCCTTATTTCTATTTTAAATAGATTTTTTTTTAATTCATGAACACGGTGTCTTTACTGATCTTTATTAATTTATTATGTTAGTTGTAGTGCTGTAGCATTGTCGTATCAACAATATAAAAGTATAGATAATAAGTTTTGAAAGCCGTTTGTTTAATTGGTACATTAACGGCATTAAATTTAAATTCCTTTTGAAAAATCTGTTTGCCGGTAGTACAAATTATTCGGAGACAACCATATC